CCCCAAAACCCCAAAACCCCAAAACCCCAAAACCCCAGCATCCTTAATAATCATTTTACAGTCAAAATATGTATATCAGTAATTACAATCAATCTCTAAAATGTATAAACCAAACATTATCTCTTAATTAAAGGTTTTTAACAAGCTCTCTTTGCTTTTCAAGCAATAAATCGATATCAAATACTTTGAAATCAATGTAATCACCATCAGCCATAGCCTTTTCTAACATCTCTTGGTGATTCATCATGAATTAATCTCTATCAGTGTCCGGTAGTCTTTCAATATCTTCCATTATACTAGCCACAGCATTTTCCATTAGTAATTTCTTGAGTTTAGTCATTATTGTTCGGTTGACCCAGATAAATTTTGAAATTTAGTTAGAGAGCTAACTGAAAAACATATTCATCTGCTTCTCAAATATATCCTGCTCTTCTATTTTATCTTCTTGGATTTGCTAATGCAAATCCTCTAGGATTTTAAGGTTGCTCTAACTCATATAGTGCATTAAGTCTCTAAATGGCTCCAAACATTCGTTAAATGCTGTCTTGAAAACATTTGAGATTTAATTCATCAATAACTAGATCGATCGCTTTCTGTGCTGAATCTTGATGAACTAACATAAGTCTAATGAAAAATTAAGGATGGCTTCACTATCATCTTTTTTAATATCAAACTCTACTATTTCCTCAATGATTCTCCCAAGATTGTCTTCATTCCTCATAATAAAGGCCATTCTCTCATCTTTAGTAAGAAATTCTATATTCCGTTGAATGCTCTGCAAACTTAGATCCTTGATTCTGGATCTCATTGTAACATAAGCCTATTTCTTGGCCCTGTTAAATTCCTTTAAGCTTTACATTGCGAATAATATCACTGTATCAATAAATGACTCAAACTCAAATACCTTGGTGAACTTAAACTTAGACAAATCTTCCTCCAAAACAGTCATCATATCTCTTAAGACTGGTATCTGAAGCATGTACTTAGGAAAACTTTCATCTCCTTCGTGGAAGATAGAAAAGTAAGTATCCTTCAATTGTCTATTAAACTCAATTAACAAATTAGACTCTGATTTTTGCATGCTTGTTATAAATAGATTTTGAGGCCCAAAGTATTTATCTAATACCTCTAAAGGAATATCAAAGGTCTTTCTTTCATCATCAATTTCACCATTTTCTTGATGAGTATCTATCATTTCAACATCTGTTTCAAATTGTGTTGAAAACAGTCTTCAATCATTTTTTACTGAGGTGTCTATTTACGAGGTAGATGTATCAATCATCATAACTTGCCCTGGAGGATTGTAGTCATCATCATCCTTTTAACTATTAAATTTTTTTCTAGGAGGCATCAAAAGCTTTAAAATTAATATCTAAATTTTAATTATATTCTGATACGATGACAATTGAATATTATTATGGCTTTGCGGGGTTTTGGGGTTTTGGGG